AGGACAACTATTAGCTTGAAATAAACCCCCAACAACAATTGGAGGCATATTTTGGATTGTTTCTGCCATTTTTAACATTAACCGAACAACCCAGTACTTTGATCGGAGAACCTTCGAACAATGGAATATTATGCTAAAAAGGTATGTAATTACTAATAATTCGTTAAAAAGACAAAATATCATTCGAATACATTCATTTGGAACAAAAATTATAAAAATAACGTAGTATCGAATGATTTTTTGTTACCTGTAGAATGAAAAGTAGGGTTAGATTTTCCTTTTACTTAAAATTTCTTTATTTTGCAGGATTGAAACTGGAAAAAAGGAAGCAAACAGCAACTGGCAAAGCAAAATAACCCACCAAGAACAATTTGAACAGCATTTTGGAGTCTTTTCTGGAGGCTTTTCTTTCCATTCGATCGAACAACAGTGTTGAAGAACCTTCGTAAACAATACATTAGTATGTTAATTGTGAAATGTTTTAGTAATAATTAAAATAAATCGTTATTGAACTAACTGTTTTAGTTATTTCTACTAATTTAATCTCTTGCAGGAAATTAAAAACATTATTAAAGAACGTTTTACAATAACAACATGAAACTAATGTCAACTGTCAAAAACTAGTTTAAAGTAGAAGAAGAAATGAAGGACTTTTACTATTCGGGTCAGTGTCTAGAGAAACATGCATGGTCTTTTACATCGCGCAAGGGGGTTGAAAGGGGGCGGAGCCCCCTTTCCGAGCGTTTAGCGAGTCATTTACATAATTTCAGAATCATTTAGAACTGTTAAAAAATTATTTAGAAAACTTCAGAATTCTTTAGAACTGTCTAAACCTATTAAGACCTTTTTAGAGCCATTTGGAATGCTCCAAAATCATTTACAATACTTCACAATGATTTAGAACTGTATAAACTCATTTAGAACCCTTCTCAGAATTCTTTAGAACTGTCTAAACGCATTTAGAACGTTTTAAATTCATTTAGAATGCTCCAGAATCATTTACAATATTTCAGAATCATTTAGAACTGTTAAAAAATTATTTAAAAAACTTCAGAATTCTTTAGAACTGTCTAAACCCATTAAGACCTTTTTAGAGCCATTCGGAATGCTCCAAAATCATTTAGAATTTTTCACAATGATTTAGAACTGTTTAAAATTATTTAGAAGAATTCAGATATCTTTAGAACTGTCTAAACGCATTTAGAACGTTTTAAATTCATTTAGAATGCTCCAGAATCATTTACAATATTTCAGAATCATTTAGAACTGTTAAAAAATTATTTAAAAAACTTCAGAATTCTTTAGAACTGTCTAAACCCATTAAGACCTTTTTAGAGCCATTCGGAATGCTCCAAAATCATTTAGAATATTTCACAATGATTTAGAACTGTTAAAAATTATTTAGAACACTTCAGAATTCTTTAGAACTGTCTAAACGCATTTAGAACGTTTTAAATTCATTTAGAATGCTCCAGAATCATTTACAATATTTCAGAATCATTTAGAACTGTTAAAAAATTATTTAAAAAACTTCAGAATTCTTTAGAACTGTCTAAACCCATTAAGACCTTTTTAGAGCCATTCGGAATGCTTCAAAATCATTTACAATATTTCACAATGATTTAGAACTGTTTAAAATTATTTAGAACAATTCAGAATTCTTTAGAACTGTCTAAACACATTAAGATCTTTTAAGAGCCATTTGAAATGCTCCAGAATCATTTACAATATTTCAGAATCATTTAGAACTGTTAAAAAATTATTTAAAAAACTTCAGAATTCTTTAGAACTGTCTAAACCCATTAAGACCTTTTTAGAGCCATTCGGAATGCTCCAAAATCATTTAGAATTTTTCACAATGATTTAGAACTGTTAAAAATTATTTAGAACACTTCAGAATTCTTTAGAACTGTCTAAACGCATTTAGAACGTTTTAAATTCATTTAGAATGCTCCAGAATCATTTACAATATTTCATAATCATTTAGAACTGTTAAAAATTATTTAGACCACTTCAGAATCATTTAGAACTGTCTAAACCCATTATGACCGTTTTAGAGCCATTTGGAATGCTCCAAAATCATTTACAATATTTCACAATGATTTAGAACCCACACAGCATCAAATCTCTCAGTACCATCTCAATCAGATCACATATTGATCACAATATCTCAGAAATTTCTGAAATGTCTCCGAGACATTTAAAAAAATTGAAAGCTTGGTAACATATATATTGGTGAATAGTGATATGTCTGAGATGTATCTGAGATAGTTACAGCTTTATCAATTGCTTGATGGTAATATTTTCACATATTTTTTTTCTTAATTTTTTGGGATGATCTGCTAAGCTATTGTACTATTTAGCTATTGTACACGAGCCCACAGCCAACGTGGCACGTTCTGATTGGTTCTTGGTTCTTATAACACTTTACGGTGCTGTATATATCATTGCTTAAAGGGCATTCCATATACTTGCGAATTACGAATTGCGAATTGCGAATAGTTTTCTGATTGGTCAGTTTAGAAAAAGACATAAATGCAGATGCCTGCATTTTGTTTTTGTTTCCCTGCTTTCCGCGGTACCAAAATTATATCGATTAATCGATTATAAGAATTAAATCGGTAATATGTAGATTCGAAATAATTAATACTTGTATAATAACAGAGTATTCTCTAGAACAAATAATAAAAGCAAATATGACAAAAATCCTAATGTAAAGTTGATTTTAGGCATTCTTTTTATAATTTAAACGTACTAAAATCGAATTCTGTCACTTATCGAATCGAATGATTAACAATCGAAAATGTCACAATCGTTAAAATAAAGAATTAGAGCGAAAACGATCAACTAACCTCACTTTTTGGTTTGCAATGTGCAATGTCTTTCGGTTACACGGTTTTTTTTGAGTAAGCATCTTTTAAATTTAATACTTAATAGTTGGATTATTAATTTCCTTTATTTTATATTTATTATTTATTCCTTTCTTTATGAATTAAACATGCCTAAATCTAAATCAGTTAGTACAGTAAGTAAGAGGCATTTGCGGCGCCTTGTCCAAAGAAATTTAATTGAAGTTAATAAGAATAAGCCTGAAAAACAAATAACCAACACTTTTCAAGAAGTTAATAACTTTGAAACACAGAAACCTGTTCCTGTTAATAATTTTATTGAATCAAGTGATGATGAATGTAATTCTCAAGAAAGTATCGAAGTGACACATTTTTCTCCTCCTAAGCCCAGTTTATTAACACTAAGTGAATCTTCAGAACCTTCAGAAAATTGTGATCATAATATTGTGATGACCAACTCCAGTATTACTACAGATTTCAGGTTAGAAGCTGAAAATATAAGATCTAGTTTAGCTAACTGGGCAATCTCACATAATATTTCTCATGTTTCACTTAATAGTTTATTGAATATTTTACATAATCACAATTGTTTTTCTAACCTTCCACTGGATAGTAGAACACTACTTCATACAGCAAAAACGTGTGTGCTTAAAACTGTATGTCCAGGAGAATATGTTCATTTTGGCTTGAAAAGAATTTTACAAATAATGATAAATGAAAACATTGAAATAGTTGAATTATTGATAAATATCGACGGTTTGCCTATTGGTAAATCGTCTACCAATTCTTTATGGCCAATATTAGGAAATATTTCAGGGTTTTCAAATGTTTTTATAATAGGTGTTTATTTTGGTCCTCAAAAACCACAAGATGTCAATGAATTTTTATCAAATTTTGTCGAAGATTGTACAGATTTAATAAATAATGGTTTATGCATAAATAATAAAATAATTCCTTTTATTCTAAAAGGTATAGTATGTGATGCACCAGCAAAGTCTTTTGTATTAGGCGTTAAAGGGCATTCTGGCTATTCAAGCTGCACAAAATGTTTGATAAATGGTGATTTTTTAAATAACCGAGTTTGTTTTCCTGGCAGTACATGTGGTAAAAGAACAGATGAAAGCTTTAGAGCCCAAAGTGACGAAGAATACCATATTCGTGAAACAATTTTAAAACAAATTCCTAATTTTGACTTAGTAAAAGGAGTTCCACTGGATTATATGCACCTTTTATGTCTTGGTATAACTAAAAGACTTCTGCTCCTATGGACCGGGGGTGATTTATCTGTCAGATTACCCAGTTCTAAAATTAAATCTATATCACAAAGAATTACAAGCTTAAAGCATTATATACCCAAAGAATTTGTTAGAAGACCCCGTTCATTGGATTACTTAAAATTATTTAAAGCAACAGAGTTTCGAATGTTACTGCTTTATATAGGGCCAATTTGTTTTTCCGGCATTTTAAGAAGAAAAGTTTATGAAAATTTTCTTACACTACATGTTGCAATTAGAATGCTTTGTATTCAAAATGAATGTGAAACCATTGAATATGCTAATAAATTACTGCACATCTTTGTTTCGACATATGAAAAAATTTACAAAAAATACAATGTTTCCCATAATGTTCATAACCTGTTACATCTTGCTGAAGATGTAAAACAATTTGGAGTATTGGATAATTTCAGCGCTTTCAAATTTGAAAACTATATGTCATCGATAAAGAAATTACTGAGAAAATCTGAAAGACCACTTCAACAATTATTTTTTAGAACTACTGAAATAGAAGCCTTAGGTACACAAACATGGAAGCTTTTGCCAAAAAACAAAAATCTAAAATTTTTCATGGTTGATAAAACATTGCATACTCGTGGTCCCCTCATTGAAGGATGTTCAAATCCTCAATATCATTCAATACAAAATGATCAATTCATATTAAAAGCTTTTTCTGTTTCTGATAATTGTTTTTTGGGCAAAAATGGCAATATTGTAGTGTTAGAAAACATTGCCTATTCGTTTGAAGCACAGTCTATGTTACTAATAGGTAGAGAATTCGTAAAGAAAGAAAATTTATTTCACAAACCCTGTGATTCATCTAAACTTGATATTTATGTAGTTTCACACTTATCCGCGCTCAAAACTTGGCCGTTAACTGAAGTTAGGTGCAAATATATGAAATTGCCCTTTGAAGCTAATACATTTGTTGTTATTCCCTTACTCCATAGTGAGGTAAGTATTTTTTTAAATTATGGCAACAATAGAAAATAATAATTTTGTTCCATTTTAAACACTTAGAGTTCAAAATGAATAAGAAGTACTGCGTAGTTGAGTTTGATGATGGCCTGCAACTTATTCCAAGACTTTGGATCAACAGCGACAATGAAGCTTTCTGGCCGAATTTTAAAACTACAGCTAAATACAACGCTGCCGTTAAAAATTCAATAAAACCTGGCATAGATTGGCAAAAATGTCAAATTTTAAGAATTTTATATTCTACAGGTGAGAAAATGATTACTTTCCCTAAAGATGTTAGACTATATTTATTCTAAAATGTTATATATTTCCAGATAATTATGAGTATGGATTAAAAAAAGTGAAAGAAGCTGAAGATGAGAGTGACATTTGTACAACAGATCCAGAAGAAGAAAAGAAAAAAAGAAAGTACAAGGCGACAAAAAAATTATCCAGCTCCGAAGATGAAATGGATACAACAATTGTACAAAAAAGGCAAATAAAACATCGCGAAACAAGATATTCTTTATCAGACGATGAAGATGAAGATACTGCATATCCAACGTTTCCAACTGACAAAACAGGTGAGTGCTTTTCGTACTTTTTGAGTACTGTACTTTTCTTAACTACGTTTTAATAGAAAACTTAATTTCAAATGGATCAATTATTTTAGTTAATTGTACGCCTGCAAAAGATACACGAATGGAAGTTCCCTCCCAACTAACAATAAGTAAGTAAATTTGTAAATAAGAGTATTTACATAAATCAATTTTTGTGTAATTTTTAGCCTTCCAGGAGGACTGCATGAAATTATTACAAAACGTCCAGAGAAAAGTAGTGGCAGTGTCCCTGATGCAACAGGAAATATTGGATAGGTTGAATTCGCTCGAACTAGGAGTTGTTGAAAGGGAAAAAGATTTACCAAATGATGATCCGTGCAGAGAAATTTTTGAAAGTGTGTTCCCTGTAAACACCATTGAAGAAATGGAACGTATCAACAACATGTTAAAAACTAATGATAATTTACGAAAATATGTTGTAAGTATAAAAATTACTTATCTAAAGATTTTATAATGATTTATATATTCATTTTAGTTTCAACGAAGTCGTCTTCTGTTGGGGAAGGATACAAAAACTTCAATTGTAAATATTCTTCGAGCTTTCTTAACAAATTCTTGTGCGGCATGTTACAGTTGGGTTGGAGCAAAGAAGAAGAATATGTTTTGTGAATTAGAGCTGGTCAAAATTATAAAAGGTAGTTACTCAAGTGAAACAAAAGTTGTTTAAGAAAAAAATAATAGAATACAATTTTCGTTACATCGAGTTTTCATTCACAATTTCACTGTAAAATGTTTTTCTAATACTTGAATTTTATTTTTCAGATTCAATTCGCAGTCAAAAAGGTAAAGAACTAACTTCAGACTATGAAATATCGGAAGTTATAAAGAACTGGCTAAGACTGGCAACATTAAGGAAGGACCGGGAAAGAGAAAAACAAGAGCGAGCAAGAACAGAATGATGTAATTTAATAAGATTTGAAAAAATAAAGTACTTTCTTAGTATTCTGGTTATGTCTCAATAATATTTAAAATAATATCTCAGATGCACTAAGTATATAAGCTGCGAGATATCTTTGAGATATTTTTAAACGGTTCTGAGATATCTCAATAACACGTCTTTGAGATGTTTACAAGGCGGACATAAAGATATCTCAAAGATATCCCGATTATATCTCAAAAATATTTCTGAAGATCTCAGAGATATACTATGTCTCATTATTGACGTCCCTGATATATCCTAGAGTCGTAAATTTGCTGTGTGGGAACTGTATAAACTCATTTAGAACCCTTCTCAGAATTCTTTAGAACTGTCTAAACCCATTTAGAACGTTTTAAATTCATTTATAATGCTCCAGAATCATTTACAATATTTCAGAATCATTTAGAACTGTTAAAAAATTATTTAGAAAACTTCAGAATTCTTTAGAACTGTCTAAACCCATTAAGACCTTTTTAGAGCCATTTGGAATGCTTCAAAATCATTTAAAATATTTCACAATAATTTAGAACTGTTAAAAATTATTTAGAACACTTTAGAATTCTTTAGAACTGTCTAAACGCATTTAGAACGTTTTAAATTTATTTAGAATGCTCCAGAATCATTTACATTATTTAAGAATCCCTTAGAACTGCCTTACCTTAAGAATCTTTTACAATATTAAAGAATCCTTTAGAACTGCCTTAACCCATTTAGACCGTTTTAGAACGATTTGGATTGGTCCAGAATCATTTACAATATTTCAGAATCATTTAGAACTGTCTAAACCCATTAAGACCGTTTTAGAGCCATTTGGAATGCTCCAAAATCATTTACAATATTTCACAATGATTTAGAACTGTATAAACTCATTTAGAACCCTTCTCAGAATTCTTTAGAACTGTCTAAACCCATTTAGAACGTTTTAAATTCATTTATAATGCTCCAGAATCATTTACAATATTTCAGAATTATTTAGAACTGTTAAAAAATTATTTAGAAAACTTCAGAATTTTTTAGAACTGTCTAAACCCATTAAGACCTTTTTAGAGCCATTTGGAATGCTCCAAAATCATTTACAATATTTCACAATAATTTAGAACTGTTAAAAATTATTTAGAACACTTCAGAATTCTTTAGAACTGTCTAAACGCATTTAGAACGTTTTAAATTCATTTAGAATGCTCCAAAATCATTTACAATATTTCACAACGATTTAGATTTGTTTAAAATTATTTAGAAGACTTCAGATATCTTTAGAACTGTCTAAACCCATTAAGACCTTTTTAGAGCCATTTGGAATGCTTCAAAATCATTTACAATATTTCACAATAATTTAGAACTGTTAAAAATTATTTAGAACACTTCAGAATTCTTTAGAACTGTCTAAACGCATTTAGAACGTTTTAAATTCATTTATAATGCTCCAGAATCATTTACAATATTTCAGAATCATTTAGAACTGTTAAAAAATTATTTAAAAAACTTCAGAATTCTTTAGAACTGTCTAAACCCATAAGGACCTTTTTAGAGCCAATAGGAATGCTCCAAAATCATTTACAATATTTCAGAATCATTTAGAACTGTTTAAAATTATTTAGAACAATTCAGAATTCCTTAGAACTGTCTAAACGCATTTAGAACGTTTTAAATTCATTTAGAATGCTCCAGAATCATTTACAATATTTCAGAATCATTTAGAACTGTTAAAAAATTATTTAGAAAACTTCAGAATTCTTTAGAACTGTCTAAACCCATTAAGACCTTTTTAGAGCCATTTGGAATGCTTCAAAATCATTTACAATATTTCACAATAATTTAGAACTGTTAAAAATTATTTAGAACACTTTAGAATTCTTTAGAACTGTCTAAACCCATTAAGACCGTTTTTGAGCCATTTGGAATGCTCCAAAATCATTTAGAATTTTTCACAATGATTTAGAACTGTTTAAAATTATTTAGAACAATTCAGAATTCTTTAGAACTGTCTAAACACATTAAGATCTTTTAAGAGCCATTTGGAATGCTCCAAAATCATTTACAATATTTCACAATGATTTAGGACTGTTAAAAATTATTTAGAACACTTCAGAATTCTTTAGAACTGTCTAAACGCATTTAGAACGTTTTAAATTCATTTATAATGCTCCAGAGTCATTTGCAATATTTCAGAATCATTTAGAACTACCTTACCTTAAGAATTTTTTACAATATTTAAGAATTCTTTAGAACTGCCTTAACCCATTTAGACCGTGTTAGAACGATTTGGATTGGTCCAGAATCATTTACAATATTTCACAATGATTTAGCACTGTTAAAAATTATTTAGAACACTTCAGAATTCTTTAGAACTGTCTAGACGCATTTAGAACGTTTTAAATTCATTTGGAATGCTCCAGAATCATTTGCAATATTTCAGAATCATTTAGAACGGTTTAAAATTATTTTGAACACTTCAGAATTCTTTAACACTGACTAAAACCATTAGGACGTTTTTAGAACCATTTGGAATGCTCCAAAATCATTTACAATATTTCACAATGATTTAGAACTATATAAACTCATTTATAACGTTTTAAATTCATTTATAATGCTCCAGAATCATTTACAATATTTCAGAATCATTTAGAACGGTTTAAAATTATTTAGAACAATTCAGAATTCTTTAGAACGGTCTAAACCCATTTAGAACGTTTTAAATTTATTTGGAATGCTCCAAAATCATTTACAATATTTCTGAATCATTTAGAACTGTCTAAAATTATTTACAACACTTCAGAATTCTTTAGAACTGTCTAAACCCATTAAGACCGTTTTAGAGCCATTTGGAATGCTCCAAAATCATTTAGAATTTTTCACAATGATTTAGAACTGTTTAAAATTATTTAGAACACTTCAAAATTCGTTAAAACCGTCTAAACCCATTTAGAACGTTGTAAATTTATTTAGAATGCTCCAAAATCATTTACAATATTTCACAACGATTTAGATTTGTTTAAAATTATTTAGAAGACTTCAGATATCTTTAGAACCGGCTAAACCCAGTTAGAACGTTTTAGAATCATTTAGAATGCTCCAGAATCATTTACAATATTTAAGAATCCTTTAGAACTACCTTACCTTAAGAATCTTTTACAATATTTAAGAATCCTTTAGAACTGCCTTAACCCATTTAGACCGTGTTAGAACGATTTGGATTGGTCCAGAATCATTTACAATATTTAAGAATTCTTTAGAACTGCCTTAACCCATTTAGACCGTGTTAGAACGATTTGGATTGGTCCAGAATCATTTACAATATTTCTGAATCATTTAGAACTGTTAAAAAATTATTTAGAAAACTTCAGATATCTTTAGAACCGGCTAAACCCATTTAGAACGTTTTAGAATCATTTAGAATGCTCCAGAATCATTTACATAATTTCAGAATCATTTAGAACTGTTAAAAAATTATTTAGAAAACTTCAGAATTCTTTAGAACTGTCTAAACCTATTAAGACCTTTTTAGAGCCATTTGGAATGCTCCAAAATCATTTACAATACTTCACAATGATTTAGAACTGTATAAACTCATTTAGAACCCTTCTCAGAATTCTTTAGAACTGTCTAAACGCATTTAGAACGTTTTAAATTCATTTAGAATGCTCCAGAATCATTTACAATATTTCAGAATCATTTAGAACTGTTAAAAAATTATTTAAAAAACTTCAGAATTCTTTAGAACTGTCTAAACCCATTAAGACCTTTTTAGAGCCATTCGGAATGCTCCAAAATCATTTAGAATTTTTCACAATGATTTAGAACTGTTTAAAATTATTTAGAAGAATTCAGATATCTTTAGAACTGTCTAAACGCATTTAGAACGTTTTAAATTCATTTAGAATGCTCCAGAGTCATTTACAATATTTCAGAATCATTTAGAACTGTTAAAAAATTATTTAAAAAACTTCAGAATTCTTTAGAACTGTCTAAACCCATTAAGACCTTTTTAGAGCCATTCGGAATGCTCCAAAATCATTTAGAATATTTCACAATGATTTAGAACTGTTAAAAATTATTTAGAACACTTCAGAATTCTTTAGAACTGTCTAAACGCATTTAGAACGTTTTAAATTCATTTAGAATGCTCCAGAATCATTTACAATATTTCAGAATCATTTAGAACTGTTAAAAAATTATTTAAAAAACTTCAGAATTCTTTAGAACTGTCTAAACCCATTAAGACCTTTTTAGAGCCATTCGGAATGCTTCAAAATCATTTACAATATTTCACAATGATTTAGAACTGTTTAAAATTATTTAGAACAATTCAGAATTCTTTAGAACTGTCTAAACACATTAAGATCTTTTAAGAGCCATTTGAAATGCTCCAGAATCATTTACAATATTTCAGAATCATTTAGAACTGTTAAAAAATTATTTAAAAAACTTCAGAATTCTTTAGAACTGTCTAAACCCATTAAGACCTTTTTAGAGCCATTCGGAATGCTCCAAAATCATTTAGAATTTTTCACAATGATTTAGAACTGTTAAAAATTATTTAGAACACTTCAGAATTCTTTAGAACTGTCTAAACGCATTTAGAACGTTTTAAATTCATTTAGAATGCTCCAGAATCATTTACAATATTTCATAATCATTTAGAACTGTTAAAAATTATTTAGACCACTTCAGAATCATTTAGAACTGTCTAAACCCATTATGACCGTTTTAGAGCCATTTGGAATGCTCCAAAATCATTTACAATATTTCACAATGATTTAGAACTGTATAAACTCATTTAGAACCCTTCTCAGAATTCTTTAGAACTGTCTAAACCCATTTAGAACGTTTTAAATTCATTTAGAATGCTCCAGAATCATTTACAATATTTCAGAATCATTTAGAACTGTTAAAAAATTATTTAGAAAACTTCAGAATTCTTTAGAACTGTCTAAACCCATTAAGACCTTTTTAGAGCCATTTGGAATGCTTCAAAATCATTTAAAATATTTCACAATAATTTAGAACTGTTAAAAATTATTTAGAACACTTTAGAATTCTTTAGAACTGTCTAAACGCATTTAGAACGTTTTAAATTTATTTAGAATGCTCCAGAATCATTTACATTATTTAAG